TTAATTTTTGTTAATTTTTGTTAATTTTTGTTAATTTTTGTTAATTTTTGTTAATTTTTGTTAATTTTTGTTAATTTCATTAATTTTGTTAATTTTTGTTAATTTTCATTAATTTTGTTAATTTTGGTTAATTTCGGTAACTTTTAAAATAAAATTATTCCGAATATTTGTCATACATTTTTAATATTTATTCGCTAAAGATAGAAATCCAATAACTGTATTAAAGAAAAATGATATACTATTTTAGGTTATTTTAGGTTATTGCTTTTTTAAAAAAAGATCACTGGCGACTTTCTCACTTGTTTTTATAATCATGAATAGATTTTTGATACGTTCACCATTATTTCGTTGTTTAATTTTAGTTTTAATAATTGCATTCATATCTCTATTTTATACGCGAAAATATACTGTAATTTATAAGTTAAATAATTTAGATATTTTAGATTCTCAAAGCCCGACGGAAAAATTCCTTGAGAAAGAATGGATAAATCCAGAAAAAGATATTTCTTTATATCAAAGAAAACAAAGAGCAAATGCAGTGATTGTTGTATTAGTTAGAAATTCCGAGTTACATGATCTTAGATCTTCGATGAGACAATTAGAAGACAGATGGAATAAAAAGTTTAACTACCCATATGTTTTCTTAAATGACGAAGAATTCACGGAAGAATTTAAAACCAAGACATCAGTGTTGACTAAAGCAAAAACAATGTATGGTAAGTAATATGTGTTATGATATTTATCTAATTTATATCGAATATAATCGATTTTAACTGATTTTTAACCGATTTTCAACCGATTTTAACTGAATTTAACTAAAGAATATTTTATAATTAATTTATGATTAATTAATTTTATAATTATAATTACAATCTAAAAAAAAGGTTTAATACCGAAAGAAATGTGGAGTTATCCTGATTGGATTAATCAAACACATGCGGCAGAAGAAAGAAAGAAAATGCAAGATGCAGATGTTATATACGGTGGATCCGAATCTTATAGACATATGTGTAGATTTAATTCAGGATTTTTCTTTTTACATCCACTTCTATTGCAATTTGATTATTATTGGAGATTAGAACCTCAAGTACAATTTATGTGTGATATTGATTATGATCCATTTTTATTCATGCAAAAAAATAAGTTGATTTATGGATTTACCATTTCATTATATGAATTTCAATCAACAATTCCTACTCTTTGGAAAACTGTTAAAAATTTTATAAAAGAATATCCTCAATTTATTCCTAAAGATAATATTATGAATTTCATATCGGATGATGGAGGAAATGAATTTAATCTGTAAGCAATTTATTATTATTATTATTATTATTATTATTATTATTATTATCAATCTGATTTATTTGATTTGATTTGTAAATTTTCTATCAAATAATAATAATAATAATAATAATCAAATATAAATATTATATAGTTGTCATTTTTGGAGTAATTTTGAAATTGCAGATTTAAATTTTTGGAGAAATACACCTTACCGAGAATTTTTTAATTATCTTGATAAATCTGGTGGATTTTTCTATGAGAGGTATCTTTTTTTATTTGTAATAATATATATATATATTTTTTTTAATTTAATATTTTTCATAAATAATAATCTTTATAGTAATAATAATATTTTCATAATAATATTTATTTTAGATGGGGAGATGCGCCAGTACATTCTATAGCGGTAGCTTTATTTAATCCAAAATCGAAAGTTCATTTTTTTAATGATATAGCATATAGGCATGAACCATATTTACATTGTCCAATACAACCAGAAAGTCACGAAAGTGGTAGATGTCATTGTGACCCAAATCAAAATATTGGTATGTTATTATTATTTATTTATTTATTTTTGAAAAAAAAAAAATTATATATCTCGAAATTTACATATTAAATTAATTAATCTTTTGTTATTATTTCTTTGTTAAATGAATAATAAACAAATAGATTCTGATTATTATTCATGTAATAAGAAATGGTTTGAAATCAAATAAATATATCATTTTTTAGAAAAAAAAAATTTTTTTTCTTATAGAATTTATTGATTTAACAATATTTTTAATCTATATGTGGTGTGTGTTTTTTTTTCGATTTTTCATATTTTGCATCAATTTTCATTTTAAAATTTAATTATAAATAAATCAAAACATTATCAGGTCAGATTTATCTTGCCTAAAATTTATTAAAAACATCTCTTTCGAAATATTAATCCTAAAATTATTATAAAAAAAAATCTTATTTACCATTTTTATTTAAATTTAAGTTATATATAAAATAAATCGTGACGTGTAATAATAAATTAAAGTTTAACATATGGCTTTATTATCGTTAAAAGACTATCGCGAATCAAATCAAAATTAAATCAAATCCAAATTAGAAATCTTTATTTAAAATTAACTAGGATGGATCCTAAAAAATAAGGATGGCACGTCAATTCGTTTAACAAACTATTATACAAATTTGATTTTCTGTTTTGAGACAACAAAGAAAAAAGTGCCAAGAATAATAGTTTGAGATATATAAACAGTATATAGATGCAGACTAAATATGAAATCATATATAATCATAAGAGACGTAATCATAAATCTTATGACGTACCAGTAATTCATATAAAAATATATGACAAGATGTAATGACGTACTTTGAAGAAGACACTTATAATAAAACAGTAATTCAAAATTACTAAAAAAGCGGAAAATAATTCATTATATTATTAAAACCAAATCGGGTGAAGGAGATGCGGTATTACAAAATTTAATAAAATTTGTGAGACTTTTAATAATAATTTATTTCTAAAATTAGAATAAAATTTTGGTTCAAAACATATATATAAATATATGTGTAAAGGACAGAAATCAAATCAAACGTTTTTTTTAAAAAAAAAGAATCAACTATGATAAATGAATCAACAATGATATCAAATAAATTAACAAAAAAAAGAATAAAAAAATCCATACAAAATAATTGTAATAAATCAAGAATAATACTTTTCGCGTTATTCATTTTAGTAATTACTTTAATTATAATAATTTTAATAATATTACTCAAAAATCCATTTATATTTATTCGACCCCATTGTCAAGCACAATATGGAAAACCATCATTATTAGAAGCATTTAATACATTAGGTAAATTAGAAACAGGAAAAAATACTAATAATGATGATGAAAAATATAAAGTAACAAATAATTTAGGATTTACGGGAAAATATCAATTTGGAGAAGCAATATTAATAGATCTGGGATATTATCAACCAAAAGATAATATTTTTTATAATAATGGTAGTGATAAAAATAATTGGTTAGGAACATTTACAGGAAAAAATGGATGTAATAATTATCAAGATTTTTTAATGAATAAACAAAATGTTCAAGAAATTGCAATTAGAGAAGAATTTCAATATAATTTAAATATATTAAATAATACATTAAATTCACAAAATAATAATAATAATACTAATAATGATGATAATAATAATAATAATAATAATAATAGAACTTTATTATCATTTATCAATAAATCATTTAAATTTACTAATGGATGTAATATAAGTGTTGATGGATATTTAGTAAAAAATATTACAATGGCAGGTTTATTAGCTGCTGCTCATTTAGTTGGAGCCATTAATGTTAAAAATGCTTTATTAGGTGGAATAGCTCCATGTGATGAAAAGAAGACAAGTATGACAACTTATTTAGAAGATTTTGATGGATGTGATTTTAGTGAATATGATGTTAATGAAGCTGTCACTAATAATAATAACAACAAATGATATTAAAAAAAAAAAATTACATATTTCATTATTTATTTATAACTTTTTATTTATTTATTTTTAAAAATTTTTAAAAATTTTTATACAATGTAGAAATTAATTCATAAAATCACTTAATAATAATAAATTTTAATGGTTACTCCTCTTATTATTTATTATTTTATTTTTAATTCATTAGTTATTCATTTTTTAATAATAATAGTAAACACGATACAAAAATAGAATTATATATCTTGAAATTAGAGTTGAAGCTTTATATATTCATCAAGAAAATATTCCTTTCGATGTTCATTCAAAAAACTAATGAAATAAAAATTCAAAATTTGCAAAAATTAGAATTAGTAAGAGTAAAAAAAAAAAGGAAAAGGGAAGAGAGAATAGAAAAAAATATATGTATTTCATACTTTATCAAATCTGTTAAATGATCTTTCAATATATTTAAAGTTTCTTGACCTAAATTAGTACTTGACACTAGTTGTGGGAAAGCGACTTAAAATACAAAATAATAAAAATAACAAAAATAATAATAATAATAATAATAATATATTAATATGGAAAATTTATAAATATGCATATATATAACTCATAAAAATATAAAAATATAAAAATAAATACCAAATAATCTTAATAAATGTTCAGCTCCAAAAATTTGAGAATTTTCTAAATGTTCAAGTTTATGTCGAACATCTCGATATTGAGTTCTCTCCGATAGATATAAAAGTCGAGTACCGACGCATTTATTAAAATAAAAAAGTACTCCTTTAAGGACCTCTTCAGCAATCCCATCGCTAAATGATCGATTTTGACCATTTTTTATTATTGAATATTATGATGATGATGATGATGATGATGATATGGCTAATTATAAAAAATTTTAAATTCATCAACTTTAAAAGATTTTTTTTTTTTTTTGATCTTTTTACTTACAAGCTCTCTTGATAGCCACTTTTTTCATACCTCAATCTTCTATAACTATCAATAATATCTGCAACATTTGGTTTTCGTGGTAATGGAACTGACTAAAAATAATTAATTAAAAATCATATATTATTAATATATATAAATAATATAATAAAATATTAATATAATAATATAATAATAAAATAATATAATAATATATAATATAATAATATAATAATATAATAATATATTTATATTTATACCAATTGTGATTTATTGATATTTTCCCAATCTTGTACTAAGAGAGCTCTTAAAGGTTCAGGCATATTAAATATGATCTTTGGCTTTTTAACAGGGTCGTCCTATATTAAAAAATATTATAAATAAATATTATGAACTTTATATTATTCAATTACTACTAGTTGAAAATTATTATTATTATTATTATTATTATTATTATTACTTTATCCACTGAACGATCTCTTCTTCTTTTTTTGCCTTTTTCTACTGACGAGGTTTCTTGAACTGTTTTTTTAACTGCCGGTTTATTTTTCTTATTCATTGTTTCTTCAATCAATTTTTGTTTATTCAAATTTGCTTCGTTAAATTTTAAAACTCTAGTTTCCTCTACCCATTCATCCCACCTTTGTGTAAGATATTAATAAAATTCCTGATGTTAATAAACAAAAAAAACCTATATAATTTTAAAGATCATCATTATATATATTGAAAAAGAATGCATTGAAATATTTATATATTAAACTTACGTATTTTTCCATCCTTTATAATGTATCAAATAATGTGGTCCAGCTAACCCTGTTTTTGGATGATGTTTATCATATTGTAATATCTAAATAATGGATTGGTTTAATAATTAAAGTTTCGAAAAAAATCTTAAACCAAGAAAAATGTATATAGATATTTATGAACCTTGGCTTCATAAATCATAGGTCCGTGATAACAAAGAATCCTTTCATTTTCTTTAAAAAGATGTTCTCTATTTTGGGCCATAATAGTAGTTATTTTCAAACAAAAGGTTTCTGATCATAAAAGTGATTAGGTGCAACCAATTTATTGGTCAACTCAGAGGTGCGACATGCAAAATTTTACATAGTAACGCATAACAAAAAAGTAACTGCGGCAATATCAGTCACTAGTCACTCCCCTAAAATGTGTTGACCTTTAATTAAGTAACCAAAATTAGGTAAAATCTACTACAAAGATAACCCGACTTATCAAAGATTATGCCTTATTTACTTCTCCTTCTGCTTATTATATTCAATTTTTATCACTTTTTTTTTAAAAAAAATTAAAAATTATATTACATACTTTATCAAGATTCAAGATAAATCAATCAACGGATTATCCGTGGTAACACAGATTTGACGGATCACAATATATAATTTTTACTTGTCGAACGAAAGCTATTAAGGTGAAAAGGTCACATGCTTTTGCAAATATCGATGCTGATGAACTAAAGCTTTGGAAAGTCGAAATTTCCAATAACAACGAAGAAGAGCTTCAAAATCTTACCCTACAAGACAATGATATGTTACTCGCTACAAAGCAAATTAAATACTATTGGGATTCCCCACATAAATAAAATACATTTAATTATAAAGTCTCCTACTACTGTTTCTTGATACTGACTAACTTTGACTTTCCACATTTTATGTCATTCCAATTAATCTTCCTATTTTTTCACAAGATACCACCTACAAGATTAATGAAATGTACAATAAATTTACCCATCTCCAAAGCCAATACAGAGAATTTCCAACTTTTTAGAAGTCATCTTGATCTCAAATTTGTAAATGTCTTCTTTGAGAATTTCCTTATTCATTGTAATGTATCACCACCAACTTTTGAATGGATCCAGAACCTGTTCATAATGAGGAATATTTGAATTGGCTACACAAATACATTCCTTTGACTGTTCATCTTGTTTGGCATTATGTTGGAAATAACTATCATTTACTAAATTATGTGAGCCTCAGGTTACCATTTATTATTCATGGTGGAACTGATATGGTTGTTGTGAATGACTTTGATGTTGATACTAATATGATTCCAGAAGGTATTCATGCTGTGCTGAATTTGAAAATAAAGATAGAAAGGAATCATATAATGCAGGTCATTTTTGAAATAGTCGCTGCTGATTTACTTGTTTCTGAAGATAAGGAAGTTTTTGGAATCTTATCAAATCTTATAGATGATTGGTACATATTATGGATTGAAGATAATAGTATAAAAAACTGGAAAGTATCAAGTCGGAATATTGCAGTTGAGGTGATGAATAAGCTCTTAGGAGGTGATTTTGGTGATAGTTCTGGTGTCAATACAAAGGGTACATCAATAATCATTCCAGGCTTCAATCGTGTCAAGTTCAAAACCTTGTTATCTGATCATTTCACCTTAGTTAAGAATATTGCTCGATGGAGGATATATATTATGTTATGTCAAAGGAGGATCCCTCCTTTATTTCAATGTATGCATAAATTTTTTTAGGAGGAAAGGATTTATTTAGATTCTGTAAAAGATTCATATAGTAATACGTAATTGCAAAATTAAAAATATTAAATGTATTATTAATAAATTTAAATCTTTGCTTATGAATTAGCATTTGTGTTAATTTTCTTTACTATGATGAAAATGTATTTTTCACATGTGGAAGGATGCTTGTCAATTTGTTAATAGTAAGATTTACTTTCAGTTGAAAAGTTCAGGGCGTAGTAAAACCCAAACAATTTATAAAAAAAAAACTTTGATAATATTAAATTAGAAAATGAAATAAGAAAATATGATTTTTGTATAATAAATTTTTCAAATTTTAATTAAAAATAAACAAATTTAATAAATTTTCTATAATGTAATATATCTATAAATTACTTGGGATTCTGGAGAATTCTTGCACAAAATAGAAATTCAGATTTACAACAAGGAATAGGGATCTGAACTTTTTCTTATTATTCATTTCTGGTTTCAATAATAATTTTATTAACTCATCTATAGTCAAAAGTGGTTTTTTTTTTGCTCTCAATATTCCAGAGTTTTAGGCCCTGCTCCTGATGAGTTAGAGACCCAAAGCAAAGCTTCTTCTAGATCTGTTACTATATCTCCAGTTAATAAATCAATAACTGGTATATTTTTTCGGTATATCTTCATTAAGATCTCATTTGGGTTAGGGTCAGAAGCTGGTGTACTCTCCAATTTATTTTCTTCTGAAGTAGTAACCAGTATATCCGTTTGATTTTGTGCTAAATGTAAGAGTTCAGGAAATGGTTTCTTTCAAAGTTCACCAGTTAAATCCATGTGCTTTCTTAAATCTTAACTTATACATGTTGCCGGTTCATAACCACAACCATGACATTTAGATATATATAATTTCTGCTTTTTATTAAATCTGTGTTTTTTTTTTATCAATATAGCAATATCTTTTTGTTTAAATAAAAAATAATTCATTTATAAAATTTTGAGATGTTAGGTAAATTTATATGTGAATATCTACATAACTCCGGAGAAGTTTATAGTTGTAATTGTCAAAGTCCTGATGGATGTCATGAACACTGGAGATCTAAAAAATGTGTTCCGTCTGAAGTTTGTGGTAAACCAACTGCTTCAGGAAAATGTATAAAACATGTTAAAGGATACGCAGTTCTATTCTCGGAATTATTGTTATAAGTAGTCGCTTCACAGCTAGATACAGAATAGTCAGAGACTCCTTACTTTGTTTGATAACAATTTCCGGGAAAATTTTTAAAACAAAAAATTTTACACTTTAGTACGCATATAAGTCAGAGACTTCTTGCTTTGTAAGTCCGATAACATTTTTAAGACAAAAAATTTTCACCTTCTAAAGGAGTAAGAGACTTAAAGCTATGCAGGGGGAGCTTCCGCACATGCCCTTTGGGGGGAGTGAGCCTCAGCAGCAACTATTTCCTATTTAATGGCTAAATACGAGGGTGTTAAAAATACCCTAATGAGTATATAATATTAAGAATTATATATTCCTATAAAGTATCGAAGAACAAGATAGACCTGGAATAATTAACTTTTTTAGTTCTATAAAAGCTACTTTTAATCTACTAATGATACAGTAATATAATATGTACAAGTAATTTTTTTTTATTCTTTAAATAAATAAAAACAAAAGTAATTAAAATAATAGTCATGAGCCAAGTTATTTATTATAATTATCTTCTTTAAAAAAAAACTAACAAATAATAATTATTATTGTTTGAACTTTTTGATAGATTTTCCAACTAGACTAGAAGCAAATATATATAAAATCAATATTAAGGAAATTTTCAATAATAAAGGGATATAATATAATTATATTTAAATTTTATTATGATTAATATATTATTATACATGATATTAAATAAATTGATGATTAATTTACAATTTAAAACTGAAGACTTGAATTGTTATTTTGCTAACAATTTTTTTTCCAATTCTAAAAATGCTTTCATTCCAGGATCTATTTCATTATCTGACTTATTTTCTTGTTCAAGAATAATTGTTGGTAATGGTTTCTTTTCTTTTAATAATCTTGACTTTATTTCTTTTATTTTTTTATTCCACTCTTGCATTTCTTCTTGATATATATCCAAAACACTGTTAAAAAAAAAAATTGATTTTGTTGATTTTGTAAAAAAAAAAAAGTGATTTATGATTTATGAATTTAATTCTGAAGAAATATACCAGTGAGAACAGCCACTAATTTATAGATTGTAAAAATAAATAAAAATTTAGATAAAATTTTTAATTATTAAAGTAAAAAATAATAATAATAATAATAATAATAATAAATGAATAAAACCTCATACAACAATTATCAGGAAAAGCAGGTTTGGGGGGTATTAATTCTCCGTCAACTGTATAAATGAGGGTTTCTTCTTTAAAAGTAGGAATTTCTTCTTTGTTATCGGAATCTATTGAAATACTGGCGATAGATGATTTATTTTGTGATTCATTTTGTTCAGTTGGTGAAAGTGCATGCTAAACGAAAAATTTAATCAAGCTGGTCAGTTAAAAATATAATAATTTATATTAATAAAATCGCACCTGTCGTAATATTAAAGTCCAATAACCATCATATTTTTTGTCTACATTATTTTTTATTGAACGTTTGAATTGAAATTGATAAATTGATTTATAATTAGGATTTGAGATAAATTTTTTCATTGCTTGAAACATTTTTTTGAAGAACGTTAACAAAACATATATAGTACATAGTATTATTATCAAAATCTTGATCTGATATGATTGGGCAATAAAAAAATAAAATTTTGATAATCCAGTCAACAATCAAAATGGAATCTCGAAAACTTGTCGTCCAAGGAATTTCGTTGAAAAATAATAAATTTGAGCGATATGGTGGAAGAGTATATTTGCATGTGGATAACATGAAAGAATACAAGTTATGTGCAGGAGATTACATTGTCATCAAGAAGTACGAAAATGAGGGAAAAGAGGTAAAAAACTTGATAATTTACAAATATTAATTGTATTATTTGCGTTTAAAAGTTTAAATGTGACTTCATTTTTTTTTTTTTTGTTCTAAAAAAAAAAAAAAGATGACAGTTGGAATCGCTTGGCCATCATTTACAATCCAAAAAAATTGTATGTTATCTAGAAATATAAAATTTATAAAGAATAATAAACTTGAATTAATGAATCTTGTTATTATATTAATTAATGAATTAACCAAGACATACAATTAAGTACTGTGCAACAAGAAAATTCCAATCTTCAAATTGAGGATATCGCTACAGTTTCACGAATTGACATCCCAATAATTATCGCGTCAAAAATTGTATTGGAACCGTGCGATAATATCAAATTTCCTATCGATCAAATGTTGAATATTTATGCAAAGGAAATCTTGAGTATGAATAATATAATTCATAGACCATATATATTGTTATAAATTATTATGCATTATTATTTTATCATTTAATGAATAAATTTCTTTTATAGTCAATGTCAAATATTTAATGAAAGGAAATCGTGTTGAATTTCAATATCACGGACATTTCAAAGTGTTTCGCGTTATCGAAATCAAAAATAATAATGTGGAAGTGGAAAATTTTGATATTTTTTCAATTACTCGAGACACTATTGTTGTCATCTTACCAAAAGTAATTGTCGGATTATCAAATTTTCGGTTCGAGAATTTGTTTGTTCTTGTATATGTAATTTAAATCAAAATTTCATATTAATAGAAGAAGGAAGAAGCAATATCAAAAGTTAATGTAATAAATGAGAATATTTCTAAATTCGGATATGCTAACATTGGAGGATTATCAGAACAAATTCAAATAATTCGTGAGATGGTGGAAGTTCCTCTAAAGAATCCTGAATTATTTGTACAATTTGGTAAAAAAAAAAAAATTTTTTTTTAATTTTAATTATCATAAGGATGTTTAATAAATTTAATTATTCACCCAGGGTTACGACCACCAAAAGGTATATTACTTCATGGTCCTCCTGGAACAGGTAAAACTTTGATAGCACGCGCTGTCGCGGAAGAAACAAGTTCTTACGTGATCTGTGTGAATGGACCAGAAATTATGAGTAAATATTATGGAGAAACGGAAACGAAGGTAAATTTCACACTTAAGATCATTTGAGATTTAGTTCATAAGAATTTTATTCACTCAATTAAAATGGCTCCTTTTTTTTTTATCTTTACATTATATCTTAGCTTAAGGATTTATTCAACCAAGCTGTTGAAAATGCTCCATCAATTATTTTTATTGATGAGATAGATGCGTTATGTCCTAAACGTGACGAGGTATGAATTTTTTTAAAAAAATTTGCTTCTATCAAATTATAATACGCGTCTTTTATATTTATATATATTATTATTATTAAAAGGTTAGCAATGAATTGGGAAAACGAATTGTTGCAACCCTTTTTACTTTGATGGATGGAATTTCTAATAGTAATAATAATAATAATAAAAAAGATATTGGTTTACAAGACCGCGTGGTAATTATTGGTGCAACCAATCGGCCAAATGCATTAGATGAAGCTTTGAGAAGACCTGGAAGATTTGATCGTGAATTAGAAATTGGTATGTTTACTTACATTGTATATATAGAACTTTATGAATATATTGTAATGTCTCACTTTCTCGCTTTTAAATATATTAAATATAGGAATTCCAAATTCTAATTCTCGATGTTCTATATTATCTACATTATTACGAAATACTCCACACACTCTTTCGTCTGAAGATATTAATGAATTAGCAGCAAAATTACATGGCTATGTTGGTGCTGATTTGGCTGCTTTATGTCGAGAAGCAGGATTAAGAGCGATTAAAAAAAGTGTCGAAAATCACAATAAACAAAGTTAGTGATTAATTATTTTTATTATTTATATTTTTTATTCTATTTATAAAAAAATTACTTTTTTTTTTTTTTAATCTGGACTTTATTTATTCGATTAGATATAAAAATTACTATAAATGATATGAATGATGCCTTGAAAGAAATTAGACCAAGTGCTATGAGAGAAGTAAGTTGTGATTACTAAGTTGGTCTTATTTTTTTTTTATCTAGCTCTTTTTATTGAATAAATTATTTATTCTAATATATTTATTTAATAATTAAAAGATAGTTCTTGAAGTTCCTAAAGTTTATTGGTCAGATATTGGTGGGCAGCAAAAAATAAAACAAAAATTAAAGGAATCAATTGAATGGCCTTTACAACATCCTGAAAAATTTTCCAGACTTGGAATACGACCACCAAAAGGAATATTATTATATGGACCTCCAGGTTGTAGTAAGACATTAATGGCTAAAGCTCTCGCCACCGAAGCGGGTTTAAATTTTATTGCTGTCAAAGGTCCGGAGGTATATTTGATATATCAAAATGATTTTATATCGTAATGAAAAGATTATATCAATTAATATCGACATTTATTAATAGCTTTTCAGTAAATGGGTCGGTGAATCAGAAAAGGCAGTCAGAGAAGTATTCCGTAAAGCACGCGCTGCTTCTCCATCAATTATATTTTTTGTAAGTATCTATTAATAATATTTAATATATAATAAATAATACTAATAATTATTATTTAGAAATAAAATTTTAATCAAATAAGGTCATCATTTTTTAGGATGAAATAGATGCTCTCACTGTAAAACGTGGTGCTGGAGAAGGTGGCGGAACTTCAGTAGTAGATCGTGTATTATCACAACTTTTAAATGAATTAGATGGAATAGAGCCATTGGTGAATGTTACTATCGTGGCGGCAACTAATCGTCCAGATATAATAGTAAGTTAGTTCCGAATATCTTCTTTTTTATTTTATTTTTATTTTTGTCTATTTTTGGTAAACAATGATTTATCCTATATATAGGATAATGCCTTATTAAGACCTGGCCGCATTGATCGAATATTGTATGTAGGTCCACCTGACCAGCCATCGAGGAAAGAAATTTTTAGTATTCAATTAAGAAAGATGTCATGTGGAAAGGATGTCTATCCTGAAGAATTAGCTTCTATGGTATTAAGAAAATCTAATTTTTGATTTTTGATTTTTTATTATTTAAATCTAAACCTTTTTTAATGAAAAAAAATTTTTTTTTTTTCAGACCGAAGGATATTCCGGTGCTGAAATAGTAGCTATAAGTCAGGAAGCTGCTTTATACGCAATGGAAGAAGATCTTGATGCAAAGGAGGTAGATATTTATATTATATAATGTTTATGATTAGTTAATTAATTAAAATTAATTAAAAATTAATTTAATCAATGTACTCTAATGCAGGTTTTACGTGATCATTTTATTAAAGCGATATCATCATTTACACGTCGTATCACTACAGAAATGATAGAATTTTATGAAGATTTTCGTAAAAAATCTGGTTTAAAGAGTGTGTAGACCTATTATTATTTTTTTTTTTTCTAAATAATTAATTGTTGCGTTTCTTTATTTATAAAAGTTTGGTATCATTTATATATGTTTTCAATTTTGACGAAGAGAATTATTTCAAGAAATTGTTTCATTATTTCTCAAAATGATTTCAAAAAGGGAAAATTAGTCCATTCCAAGTAGTCAAGTTCATTATTGACTCCCATCATCAGTTGTAATCACTGGGAAATTTCCAAAACCCATCAATTTTCTTTACACCAAAAAATCATATATTTCTTTGTAATAATCTAAATAAATAAATAATTTACTAGGCAAGCTAGTAAACATTCACATTTCATTAAGGTAAAATGGAATAAAATTTATGTTGAAGGTGAATGAAATTAATTTAAACACCAAAACCAATAATTATGAAGTGACTTATATAAAAATACTGATAATTATGATGACTATATTTAACAAATGCTTTCCTTTTTAAAAAAAAGTTTTGCCTTATTTTTCTTATTTTTGAATTCTTTTTTCATTTCTCCAAATGCTCTGGAAAAACCTACACAGGCATCTTGTTAACTTATACGACCAAATGATCTTCGATTCCAATTTTTTACAAAAAATTTTTTCTTTTTGTGTTTCCTATCAACACTTACTTTCAGCTAATTCTGAATCCATTTGTACAATTCTTTTCTGAAGTATAATTTTCCTAAGAAATTAAAACAAGGGAAACCTATAAAGAATATATATATATAAACTATAAAAGGGACTGGATAAACAAAATATCCATTTAAAATGAAAGTTAGCGAATATGTGACTTGTATCTTGGGAATAAATGAAACTATCTAATAAGAAAATGTCAATAAATTATTATTGTGACTAATAAATGAAAGAATAATATTTATTTTAAGAACCGGACAATTTCATTAAAAAAAATTTGGGATATGTATAATATAATATTTATTGTAAGACGGAATCCAAAAACATAATAAATTTAACAAATAAAAATTTCTAAATTAAAGAAAAATTCATCCTTAATTCTAAAAGTAGACAAAAAATATCATTTTTTACTAATTATATTATTATTATTTTTATAATATATTTTAAAAAATTATACATTGGTTGAAGGGGAAAGTTGAATTCCAAATTTATAAAAAAACATAGCAAATTTTGCCATATTTACATTTTTTTTTTATTTTGAATTGTCCGGTTCTTATATGAAACACGAATTAAATATTAATTTAAAATTCTTCCGAATGAAAAATTACCTTTATGCCATAAAAGGCTTAACAATTTTATTCAACATACCAAATTAAAGTCCGTAACGTTCAAGAAGTCGTTGCCTTATGTGAGGTGGGAAATGGCTTGTGTATGCATCCCAATTCGGACCCATCATCTGTTTAAATCCAGTGAGAATCTATAAAAATAATTCGAATTTAATATTTTATCGATGAATAGAGATTAAAGATTCTTTTTTAGTATATTCAATTTTGCTTACTTTACGGAATATTTCATTTAATTCGGGTGGTGGATGTTGCCATTGAACCACTGCATCACAGAAGTAAAGAAAACTCTGAAAATGCATAAAAATTTAAATATTAGAATAATAATACAAATAATTTAAATAAATTATACAAAAACTCATACTTTTGCAATTCCGTTTGGATTAACTTGAATCATTTCGCATAAACCACGGAAAGCGGTGTCCTTTTCGTCGTTATCACGGATTGATCGTAAAGCTTTGCACCTTCAAAAACAAATAAAAATTTGATGAATCAATCTTAACAAAGTAAATGAAATATTTGTATGCATACCATGCTTCGGAGAATATATCTAAATGTGGAGCAACCAATTGTGGGCACACGAGGCCTAGTCTACCAATAGTAATCCCGGCGTTTTCCAATAATGTACGAGGAGTGGTTTCACTAGTTAGAAGAGGGATCAGGCGTTCTAGCAAAGGTGGAACCCATGGTTGCATAGCCGCACCTATAAGAATTTCAAAGAAATAATAATTGATGATCGAATTATTAAATGATGGTTAGTAGTTGGACTAATTGATGATTAGTTTATGACTAAGTCATGATCCGCGAAAGAACGACGTTACTGTTTATATGTAATTCTAAATCTACAGTTGCTGCAGCTACAGAGAAAATTATTTTTTCTTCTTTTTCTTCAAAAATAACGTACCACATTGTAAGGCGATTTCACCAGCTGCCCAAGCAGCATTATTACAAACACTAACATGTTCGGCTGTGGGATCAACTTGACTAATCAATTCAACCATGAATTGACTGAGATGTGGTTTGATATGAGAGAAACATGCGATAGAAAGATCGCCTAATAAAGCATAGGCCGATTGTCTAACCTCAGCAACAGGATCCTAAAAATAAGAAATGTCATCATTAATGAATGTCGTTCACAAAAAAAAAAAATGATAAATTTAACATACTGTTAGGCAAACACTCAATAGAGGTAATAATGGTGGATTACTGTGTTCGACAAGAGCCTCAATGTGACCACCTAATCCTTGGGTTAATCCACTTAATAAATCCAAAGCAACGATCATAAAATCTTTATCTGGCATATCTAATGAAGGATTTTGTTGCTGCATTTGATATTGTAATAAAGTATTATGAATTAATTTAACACAACGTTCAAATACTGGTTGAGCAAAAGGTTGGAATCCTAATCCGAGAGCAGTTGTAACTGAAGACAAACACTACATAAATACATACATTCAATTCATTTTAATATATAAAAAATAATTATGGTCAATTTAATTTATATAATTTACATAATTATACAAACCTCTAGTAAAGGGAATAAATCTCTATCGTCATCTTTAAGTAAATGCCATTTTTCAATAAGTGGAGGCATAAGAATGTCTATGTATTCCTTCTTGTTAAGTGCTGAACTAACAGAATCGGCAAGAGTACCGATTGCATCATAAAGAATGAGTAGATTCTTATGTTGATATTTAGTAAAAGCAAAAACGAGATTTCGAAGAATTGGATCTAAATAAGGAATAAGCAATTCACATGCTTCCTCCTCTAAAGTAGCAAACGCACTACAAGCGGCTTCTTGAACACGTTTATTATTATCAAGAACTTTTAGTAAGAGCTTTAAACAAAAAAAAAAAATTTTTAAATGTCAAACTTATGATGAAACATAAAATATGAAAATATAAAGTTATTTAATTGTAAAATTTAGCTCACCATTTCTAGTAAAGGTTCAAAGTATTTGGGTCTATCTTGAGCTGGATTGGGAGGATTTACGCACCATCGAGAGTAACGACCAAGTGTCCAACATGTAATTGAACGAACAAGCGGCTATGCACCGAATGAATCAAACCATTAAATTTGATAAGAATATGATGCTTGGTAAGTCAAATTGTAACATTTGAGATTCTTATAATATGGATACCTTAGGATCACTGAGTGTTTGAATGAGATAAGGAACCAAGTTTTGTAAATGAGGTTCCACTCCCTCCATACAACCTTATTAGTTATACCATTATATTAATACAAAAACATTATAAATAGATAATAAACTTTAAAAATTAGATGATTAGAATCGAAAGCCAAAAAATTATTGCCAACCTTCCGATACAGCTCCGAGAGCCAAAATACCACATTCGCGATGTTTCCATTCTTGGTGAAATAGTTGTTCTCTTAAGAAAGGCAATAAAGTTTCTAACAATTCGTTTCCAAAAACAGTAGCAAGTACATCTAATGCTGCTGCTGAACATTTTCGTAAATTCCATTCGGAATAAATATCGTCGTCATCCATATCATCATCATCTTCATCATCCTCTTCGTCTTCTGCAGTAGTAGTAGTAGCAGCAGCAGAAGGTGCTTCTGCACTATTTGCCTCAGTACGTTCAAATGTGTGAGTTTTTGCTCGATGAAATCGGGGTTTAATATCTGTATCACTATCTGGCACATTGGTATCGTCTTCATCACCTCCAAGAGTCATGATATCCATTTCACTATAAACCATACCCTTTAACAACACTGGTACAATTCTAGGAAGAAAAGGACGCAAATGTTCACGGAGTTCTTCTTGTTCAGCAAATGCCAGCCAAAATTCGCAGGCCTCTAGCGCTACTTGCTCATCTTGATCTTGTGTAGAATAAAGCATATATTCCACAACGTTACTGATTTCAGGCATAAGTTTATCTGGACGCACCTCAAGTAACATTACTAAAGCCTGACAGACATTTTTACGGACTTCGGAATTCTCATCACTAGCACGTTTGAAAAGAGCCGCCACGAACGCATCAATGTGTATATAAAGTGAATTTGATCTCATCAGAATGAATTGATTTACGCAAGAAACAGCATATACACGGATCTTAACATGTGGTGAATCAAAAAATGTAATTATTTTAGGAATCATGAAATTAAGAGGTCGTGTGCCATCTATATCTTGGTCAAGTTCACGAGCTGAATCTTCGCAAATCTTTTGGAGGGCACCAAATGAACCCTAAATTTTAATGAAAAAATGTAAATAATTTGAATATAGAGAAATAATATAAATATGAAGAAAAGTTATTTGAATATGAAGAAATGTTATTAAATATGCATATAGATATAATATATAAAAGAGTTTAAATATACCTCTACGACGTTATAATCTGGAGAATCTAATAACTCCATTAAACTTGGTAAGACTCGCGGCCAATCGGCCAATCCTCCTCGCGTTACAATAGTGGTAATCACATTTCCGACAATACCTCGTACCATAACGTCTGAATCTCCTAACCCTTTGATTGATAAAGTTTTCACATATGAAAGTACATCACGTTGAATCGTCGAAAAATATACACGAATTGTATTTTTTAATAAAAGGCCAGCGATCGCACGGGTGGATGCCTCTTCCTGCGGCATCTGAGTGAGAATGTATACAAGGTAATTGGGATAGTCGGGTATTTTATTGAATGATTCAAGTTTCTACCAAAAACAAATAATAAATAAACGTAAAAAGTTAAGAATAACATTTTAAAACGATAATAATAGAATTTTATTGAAAAGAAAATTTAATTCTTATTAAAAAACTTATTCAATAAAAATTGTCTATACAATGAATGAAAATGGGAGCAAAAAATTAAATGATAGAAGCGAATCCGACAAAATATTGCGCGCGTAAGATACAATAAAAGAAAAGTTTAATAATGCAAGAAAAGGAAAAAATTTTTTGAAAAGGATACTTGTTGTATCATGGTGTGAATTTCGTTATCGGAAGACACTGAATCTTTAAGCAGCTGCAGCAGCTGTGAAAGCCCCTCAGGTGTTGGCATCCATTCCATGATGTTTCTTTTTGAAAAGAAAACCCTTCGTAATTAGATTGGATATAACGTTGAAAGAAAAAAGAACCGTTTTTGCGACAGCTATTGGCCAATAATTCAAATATTTACTAATTTGGTTCAAATTTTCGTCATTTTTCATTTTCGGTTTCCGGCGCTAAGTCGGAAATAGTACTTCATATTTGGTTATATTAACGTAAAAATGTTATTCCCGTTTCGGTTAAGTCACGTGCGAATTGAAATACACGAAGTCCCATTATACTCCTTTTTTGGAAAAAAAGGTCTAAAATTTAGGATAGTGATCTAATTGAGAACCCCTCCCAAAATCAAATAATCATATCTTATTATAGTAAATAGATTCCTGACTATAGTGTTGGAAGAAATAATCAATGCTTACTATGGTTTATAATATAATGGACAATGGACACATCCACTTATAAATAATAAAGTTATCAAAATAAGTTTTTTCTTATTTCAATATTTTTAAGGATTTTGTTTTTTTGCATTGGTTAATCTGTAAAAATTCAGGGGTTAGAGTTAGTTCAGGGGCAAAATTTGTTACCCTATATTATATCTGTTAAATATCAATTTTTATTAATAAAATTTTTAAATTCTATAAAAAAAATTTATATAAAGATCTACAAGAAATATAATTAGAGTTTAAAAGTAAAAATTATTATAAAACATTATTTAAATATATTTGAATATGTATTTTCAAATATCAAGTTATATAAGATAATCAATAAATTTATTGAATTTTTTATACATCAGAAAATTTTGAAGATAAATATATTTAATATATTTAATCACTCACATATTTATTTATTAAATTATATTAATTCACATTAATTCATATATTATATCAAATATATTTAGATAAATTTGCAAATATATTCAGATTACACTTGTATATAAAATTATTTTGAAATTCTATAATTGTAATTTTGAAAAAAAAAGTTGAAATAGTTTTCATAAAAAACAAAAATTATTTTATTTAAAATTTAAAATTTCTTAACTATCTAGATAAATTCTTTAATTAAAGATATACTTAATAGATATTTTTTTTACTTCTATATATAGAATAGATTCCATGTAAATCTCAAAAAAATGAAATATTTCAAAAATTAGAAATCAATTTGAAAATATATATAATTTAAATATAATTTATTTTTACTAATTACAAATAAATCTGTATATATTTACCTTTAAAAATTTCCTATTGTATTTACAAATTTCTTTTTACAAATATATAATTATAATTTTATTTTATTTCAATATTTAAAAAAAAAGAAATAATCTATTTTCTAAATATACTTTATTTTAAAACTTCTATATTTTACTTGCCATTTAATTTCTTCTTATATATAATTAATTTTATCTCAGTTAAACAAAAAGCTCCTTAATTAAACATCAGGAAATTTTCACTTATAAATATATATAGATATATTTACAATTAATAAAAATTAAATATATACAGATATATTTGCAAATATATATTAATATATTTAGTATAACATTTAAATTAATTTAAATAAATATAAATTAATATGGATTAATGTAATTTATGCAGATAAATGTATGAGTGAACAAATATATTTGAATATATTTACTTTTAAAAATTTTCTGATAAATTAATAATTATTTACTTAAATTTTAAGAAAAAAAATAGAAATATAAAATTAATTAAGCATAAGAAAAGTTTATATTTTAATTAGTTATTTATAAAAATATTTATATTTGTTTTCACTGGTCAAAATCTGGCATATCATGCACTTATCATGCACCAATCATGGTGCCCGATAGGTACCCGATATACATCT